TTAGTTAGTCCTTGAGATCCTGCTTTCCCTTTCCTTGTATTATATCTTTCTATTTGTATTTCTTCTTTGGAGTTCTTATACTAGGGAGACTATACAATAATAAATAAATGTTTAAAAAAAAAAAAGCGGAAAGTGAGGAGGAGCAGAGGTAATCTTGAGGCCCGAAACTCCTTGGCAGAAGGGGAAGAACGGGCTGGGGCTACAAGAGATATTCACATCACAGCAGTTGTAGCACAGGGATGTGGGCTTGGGGCCAGGCCTGCCTACTTGTCTCCCTCAGGAGCTGTGGGGCCTTTCAGAAATTCAGGCATCTCATTTCCTCCTAACAGAGCTGTGGTAAATCTCAGAGGGAACAGATGCAGATGCCTGAGCAGTAAGCACTAGGTATTATTTCTACTCCATGTTTTGTCAGCCTGACTCTGGACACCAAGCCATGAGAAGTCGTTTTCTGTCTTTTTCTCAGAGCTCCCAGCCAGTGACAGCAGAAGGAGAAGGTTGGGCCCTGGATGTGGCCCTGGGTCAGGCCCAGGGTTATGAAAGCAGAAGGCAAGCGTGAGGGGACCCCATGAGCTGGGCCAAGAGGGCCCCCTTCCAGGCCCCTGTCTTACCTTGTCAAACCCTCTGAGGCCACCGTGCAGACTGTTGGGCTCCCGGTTGATGGACAGCTGGTACTTCTTCCCATCCAAAGTAAATGTCCCCTTGGCAATTCGGTTGGCCACTCTCCCAACCACGGCTCCAAAATAGGGCTGCTTTTGGAGGTACCCTGCGAGGATAGAAGGGTCAGGTTTTATTGCTGCCCACCACTGTCTTCTGAGGAAAACTACTTTACCACAAGTTGAGCCTATCAAAATCCTCACAGGAGAACAGGATGATGGGAGTTTTTTACACATGACCTTTTCCTTTCCCTAAGTACTTCATGTTCATTATGAAAACTTTAAAGAATTTTGATAATGTACACAGAAATTTAAACCCTTCTTAATCCCAGCACCAGAGAGATCTTTTGTTCATACTCTTACTTGTATCTTCCCCTCTTCTAATGTAGGCATGTCTGTGCTTTTTTTTCTGTTCATAAAACTGGGATCTTAGTATAATGCTGCTTAATAATTTGCTTTTTTCCCTAAGGCCAATCAATGTTCTTAACTAAAAATCACACTTTTCTGTAGTCCTGGGAGAAAACTATTTTATTTATTTTTTGGTACTAGGAATCAAACTCATGACCTTGTGCTTGCCAGGCAGGCACTATGCCACTGAGCTGTATCCCCAGCCCTTAATCTTTTTTTTTTTAATCATACAATTAGTATATGAAAAGATCCTGTAATACAAAAGGAGACTGGGTGTGATAGCACATGCCTGTAATCCCAGCAGTCAGGAGGCTGAGACAGGAGGATTGCCTCAAGTCCGAGGCTAGCCTGGGCTACATAGTTCAAGCTCAGCCTGAACTATGTAATGAGACTGTCTCAAAAATAAATAAATAAATAAATAAATAAATAAATAAAAATAGAGGTAGGTTTGCCCGAGGACATATAGGATATCCAGTTAAACTTGAATTTTAGACAAGGATTTTGAGTATAAGTATGCTCACAGTACTATTACACACGTCAGTTGCCTACCTGAAATCTAAACTACACACTCTGTATTTTTACCGTCTTTGCTCATCCAGAAACCTTAGCACAGGGTAAAACACAAACCCTTCTTCATCTCTCAACTTCCTTCTCAGCAGTAACCACTGTAAGGAGTTCAGCACGCATGGGTTTTTTGTTTTTTTTTTGTTTGCAGTAACTACATATAAGTATATATACAAACATACATATACTCTGTAGAAACAGAATCAAACCAGACACACAATTTGCAACTTCTCATTTGCCCAGTGTCTTAAGATCTCTCTGTGAGGCACCGTATCTTTCTACCTCATTCCTTTTCCTGGCTGAAGGGCCTACCGATGAGCCTAACAGTGACAGGCCGGCCCTTCTGTGGGGAGGGTCACTCGAGGAAGCGATGTCGCACGGCTGCAGTTACAGCTTCGTGCCCGGGCACATCCTGGTACTTTTCCTTTCTTTAAACTCTTCCATGCTTGGTTTACAATGGAAGAGTTTAAGGCCCGGCTATAGCCTTTCTTTGTGTGTTCCCGCCAAGATGTTCATTCAGATCACTCAGAATCCCACTGCTCTTTGCTGAGGTCCTCCACATCCAGTCTGGTTTTGGATTCGCAGGGAACGCAGTTGAAGATTATACGTTATCTTTTTTTACTGCCGAGGGGTTCTCAGGATACAGACTCCGAATCTGGTAGGCCAGCGCAGGTCACAGGCTCCCGCCCCTCCGCAGGCCGTGCACGAGTTGAACACCGATCGCTCTCTTCTCGTCCAGGCTCACTGTCCTGGTTCTTCCCTTGCTAGTCTGGGGTGCCCTGGAGTCGTGCCCACGGACTGCCACTCAACTACCAGAGCCTGAGCCCTTTCTAGCTCCGAGTCACTTCCCTGAGGCACTCCGAGTACACTGAACTCATTTCACCCCAGGATATTTTTACAGATGTGACAACTGAACCCAAAAGGATAGGAAAATTACTTGCTCTGGCTGGATGTGGTGGCACACGCCTGTAATGCCAGCTCTTAGGAGGCTGAGGCAGGAGGACTGCCAGGAGTCTGAGACCAGTCTGGGCTATGTAATAAGTTCAAGGTCACCCTGAACTATATAGCAAGACCCTGTTTAAAAAAAAAGAAAAGTAATATATGGGAGGATATGTGTAGGTTCTATACACATGGTACCATTGTTCAAAGGACTTGCGCATCTGCAGATTTTGGTATCTGCGTGTCACCCTGCCCAGGCCTCCCATATATTTTAAATCATCTCTAGATTACACATGATACTTAACACAAATTGTTTTTATACTACAGTGTTAGTATAGAGGAAGGATAAGAAGAAAACCTAAATATGTTTAGTACAAATGCAGTTTTCTTTTTTGGTACTGGAGATCAAACTCAGGGTTTCCCTCATGGTAGGCCAGTGCACTGCCACGGAACTACAGCCTTCAGCCCTGGCTTTATTATTATTTTCTGAGTCAGGGTCTTGCTAACTTGCTCGGGTTGGCCTTGTGATCTTCCTGCCTCAGCCTCCTGAATAGCAGAGATTATACACATGTACCACCACAGCTGGCATAAATGTAATTCTTTCCCTCAAAGATTTTCTGTCTGTGGTTGGATGGATCCACGCTTACAGAATCCACAGACATAGCGCAGACTGTACCTGAAAGCACAAACCATTCTGTTGCCCAGCTCTAGGGCCATCGGTGGGCACGGGCGGAGCTGGTCTCTCTACCAGCTTCCATCTCTCTCTCTGGATCCTCCTGTTTCTAGCTGTAGCTTTAAAGCTACTTACACGAGTGTCTTAGTTATTTTTCTTGTTGCTAAAACAAAACACCTGACACTCAAAGTTAAATGAGGAAGGTTTACCATAGTTCAGTTTTTAGAGGCTTCAGTTCAGCTTTGGCTGCCTCCCAGGCAGGGTGGCACAACAGCGGGGCATCACGGAACAGGCAGGCAGAAGGCAGCAGGCAGCAAGCGACAAGCAGGGACCCTCACATCTTATTCACACATGCACACACATGCACGCGTACACACACACATACACACACTCACACTGGGTGGGCACCCTTATTCCTGGCACGTACCATGAATCAATCCCAGCATCACATTCTTGATCCCAGCATCACACGCTCTAGATCCAGCCATCTCTAAAAAGCCCCACCTATGACCCCAGGAGGCTTAAGGGGGTTGTCTGGCTATAAGCCATCACAACTGGTTAACCAAAAGGAGTCGGTCCCAAAGGGCCTGTTTTCATAGCGAGAAGGCGATGCTCCCTTTGCTAACCATCAGCAAGGATCAGAGCAGAAGACAGGTTACCAGAAGAACAGCTCCACATACTTCTTTGATTGTAGTTTATGGGACACCGGCACTCTTGGGTTGGAGACTTGACGATCTCAGGGGCAACTATCTATCTTTGTGCTTGGGTGTGATCAAATGTGGACAGCTGGAAAGAAATATGAGGCAGGGACATAGCTCAGTGGCATAAACACCTGCCTGGCAAGCACAAGGTCCCAAGTTTGATCCCTAGTACCACTAAATAAATAAAATAAAATAAATAAAAAATAAATGTGTGGACAAATAAGGTCTGATAAAATAATAGTAATCGAAGGAGAAACCCAGCAAGGGCTGCCAGTCCAGATCCTTTCTGACCCAGCTGGGCAGCTTTCCTTCTTCGTAAATGTGGGGCAGGGCTCTCTCTAGCATGGTGATTCCTGTGACTACGATCATCCAAGGCAAGTGAGAGAATTTTCTCTTTCTTTCTTTCTTTTTTTTTTTTGCCATTTTGGGATTTGGAACCAAGGGTGGTCCGCTATTGAGTGACATCCCAGCCCTTTCAGCTTTTTTATTTTGAGACAAGGTCTTCCTTAAGTCCCTTAAATGGCCTTGAGTTTGTGGTCTTCCTGCCTTAGCCTCCCAAGCAGCAGGGATTATAGGAAAGTGCCTCTGTGCTCAGCAGAGAATTTTTTTTTAAATTAATTAATTTTTTTTTATGACCGACTCTTTAACAGAAAGAGCAGGAGTGGATAGAGTAATGTTTCTGGATTTTATGCTTGGTTTTGGGGAAAGAGTTTTTGGCTCCTATGATCTGCCCTAGTGAAGAAGTTCAGGACAGGAAGTCAGAAGCTATTTCTAAAGTCTTCACTTTGGGGTATTGTTTTCTGAATCCCCAAAAGCTAAAAAAAAAAAGTTTAAAAAAAGGAGAAATTTTGTCTCAGTGACTGTTAGGCTGTAGCCGATTTTCAGTCCTACCTTGGTTTATTCCACAAATGTACACAGAGCCACCACTTTCACTGGAGGTACCCTGGGCACTGACACAACACACCCCGGACAGCATGACCCTGGCCACAGACTGTCACGGAGCCCCTTGGAGTGGCCACTCACTGGCCACAGCTCATCAGTCCACGGAGATCAAAAGCACTGGCTGGTTTGGATGAACAGTCGTGTAGGATTACAGCACAGGACAGAGAAACCACATCCCCAGCTGTCTCTGAAAAACCTTCACAGAAGAGCATTCACACTATCTTCAAACGTTACTAACATTTCACCTCAGATCAGGATTACAAAAAGTGACAACCTCCAAATTGTGAATTGGGCAGGACTAAAAAGTTGTTTTGAATTGTAGAAAATATTGTTTTCCATGAAAAGTTCAAAGTGCCTAGGTCAATCCACACGAATGCCTACCGGATCAAGTCAACTGCTGAGGGGAAACTTTACTAAGGAAAACACTGGCCAGAATAAACAAATGTGCTCAGCCTTGAGATATGATCATTCCACTCTGCTAACTTCCACAGGCCCCCATTTTTATATCCACTTCAGAGAGAAATAAATTATTCACTATTCTTCTTCCAAAACTTTCACCCCCAAATGACGAAGCTTTGGCTTTATGAAGAAAGTAACTAAAAACTGACAATCACTTTGATTATCCCAGATTGGTGGATTGATTGATCTATCAGTCCATCACTTTTTTCTTTGAGACAGGGCCTCAATTTGTACTTTAGTTGGCCTTGAACTCACTATGCAGCCTAGCTGGCCTTGAACCTGCAGCAATCCTCCTGCCTCAGGCTCCTGAGTGCTGAGATTACAGAGAAGTGTCACCATGCTTGGCATCGGTATTTTTTGCAGGCTAACAAAATGAAGCAAAAAATTCTAGTAGAGTGAGGGGAGGTACTTGGGGCAAAGGAAGGGAAAGGGACGGAAAGGATGGACTGCTCATTCTGATTAGAGACATATCATAGTCCACAGTGTATTTAATCATCCTGCTCTGTTTCAGGAGAGAGACAGATTTGGTGAAGTTCCATCACTTGCCTAATACCACACAGCTCTAAGGGACAAGAGAGAGATGTTAACGGGGCCCCCTCAAGGCTCCCACAAAGGCACCTTGGGCCTTTGCAACATTCAACCTTCTACCCCGATGCCTTTGGTTCCCACCTCGTCCTCCTTCTGAACTCACATTTTCTAAAAGCATTAGGTTTATTTATTGTGACACTGGGGATCAAACCCAGTGTCATGTGCATCTCAGGCAAGTGCTCTACCACTGGGTCATGTCCCTAGCCCTAAAATCAGAGTTGGTTCTTCTATCCTCCCCCACCCCCCCAACACACACACAAAAAGTTCTCAATGCCCTAGTAGGGTGTTGGTGGTAAGGAGAGGAACACTCAAGGTAAGAAGTCTCATTGATTGGTTGGCCAGGTTGTTTACATCTGTGACTTAGAAGCAAATAGTCTCACTACAGGCTTTGAAGGACATCTAACACTCAAATGAAAAACAATTTTAAAGACAAGAATTGGTAGGAAAAGCTCATAGAAGGTATGACTGATTTTTTCCCCCAGAATGTAACTAAAAGATTGCATAATTTACCTCTTCAGAATTGTATAGAGAAAATATCTCATTTTCCTTGGGAGAAATTGAGAAATTGAACCATTCTGACCTTCGGGCCTGGCTGTGAGCCAAGCAGTTTATGTAACCTCTCTGGGAAACTAAAGGTTGTTCACAGCCAGTCTGGTGATTACAAAAGGTCCATGTCTCATAGAATTACCCATGCTTGGCCCTTCCTCATGGATCAAAACACTTTTGGGACATGGTAATGCCAAGATAATCCTGCATTGTGTTGTTTTATTACTTTATTTACCTCAGCCTGTTCATATGTACTTGCATCATCAGACACTTAAAGAGGACATCCAGTGAAAATTGTGTCCACCCTACACTCTGCGTCCCACACCCAGATTCCTTTCTTAAGAATAACCATTGCTGGACATAGTGTCACACAACTAGAATCCCAGCACTCGGGAGGCCGAGGCAGGACTGCCATGAGTTCAAGGCCAACCTGGCCTACAGTGAGCTCAAGGCCCACCTGAGCTACAAAGCAAGATCTTGCCTCAAACAGTCAAAAAATTAATAAAATAAAAAATAGCCACCAACACTTGTTTCTTAATATGTATTTTAAAATGCTAGAATTAACCAATAGTTGCAGAGTACTATTTCATACTTTTATGACCGAGACAGCCTGCTTCCTGTTATAGCATGTGAAATCCATGGCAACGCTAAAAGGATCTCTGAAAAACTGAAGGTCAGGGCCTTAAAAGCGGAACTGGGGCACATTTAGGATAACCTCAACAACCGCTGAACACACTGGAAAGCACTACTGTATATTCTAAGGATATTCTCCTTCAACTTGTTTTTAAAACAGCATTCATTCCTTTTAGAATAATTATCTAAAGTATAACACAGGAATGAAAGTGTCCATTTTGATCCAGTACCAAGAAGAGTATTGAAAGGATTTGATTCAACTTGTTACTTGGCAAAGCTGCATGCATCCTGGTAAGACAATCCTAGCAAACACTCTCAAGATGTGTTGATGCGCAGGAACACAGGAAAACACCCAGCTAGATCTTTGAAATCTCCGAGGAATTGTCTTTTCTCACCTTTTTTTTTTTTTTTGATGGGGGGGGGCAGGGCAGTGTCTTGCTATGTAGTCTAGGCTGGCCTTGAACTTGTGGCAATCCTCCTGCCTCTGCCTCCCAGTGCTAGGAGCTCCATGCCCCGCTTGTCTCTTCTCACTTTAAAGAATATTCTTTTACTGAGAGCTTCACAAGGGGGCCACAGAGGCACAGATGTGAATGGCCTCCCACAACAAATACTTCCACACAGCGGGCATTTCCATGCAGTTGCCACTTCAGTACAGTTGGCAATCCCATGCCCACAAGAAACTGATACTTCCTGGGTGCCATGTCATTGCGGCCCACACTTTCATGGGCATTTGATTCATATAAAATCAAAAGAATTCTGCTGAAGAAGCACCCCTTTCTCCAAGCCACATGTGGAAGCTCAGGGTACACAGACAACCAGAGGTGAAGAACAGGATCCTCACAACATTCTTATCATAAACTGTACCAATTAGATGAAATATTTCTCTATGGTCCAAACAATACAAAGAAACAAAAGTGTCTGTTGACCCCCAAATCATGAGCCAATTTCAACACTTAAAAAATCAAACAGAATTACGTGCTGTCATGGTTTGGGGTTTTCACAAGGTGAACAATACGGACACATGTAATAATACTATTTTATACCAAATCACCCAAGAATCATATACAAGAAGTGCAGGAAAGACCCATAGGTCAGTGGTGGAAGCTGGGAAGTCTATGCCAGCAGGATGAAGGCTGTGTGCCAGCAGGCTGAGGGATCTGAACTGGAGCTAGGAAGCAACACTCAAGGTAAGCACCAGAGCTCCCCCAAAAGTACCACAGCCCTCCTCAGCAACCAGGAGCTCCCAAGCTTCTCCAGCAATGAGGAAAGCCAATTTCCCATCAGGAAAGCCAACGTGACAAGTTTTTCCTTGAGGCTGAGTAGTGCACCATTTTCCCCTCTGGAGCCAGGAAGTGACACTCAAGATGAGGGCCAGAGCTCCTCCAAAGTTCACTGGGAAAGCCAACATGACAAGGTCCTCCAGCAGAGCAGCCCAAGAGAACCAGCAGCTTCCAACAGCTCCAACGGCTTCTTGGAACAGCATTCCCAACAGGGTTCCAGCAGCTTCTCCTGTTCTGGCTTTATGCTGCTTGCAACAGGTGGGCCTCCTGCACCCAGTACCAAGCTAGCTCAATTCAGCTGGGTGTAATAAACTGACCACCAGCTAGCTCTCCACTACACACACTGAAAGGAAAAACCTCAGACCTCCTCTCAAGCACAATTTGTCTATTTAACCCACCCCAGACCAGAGGGGTAGAGATTGTTTCCCTTTGCTAGTTCTATTTCACATCTCTTTTTCTGTCTAGTTACACTATAATGCAGAGATAGCACAATTTACCCTTTTCCTTGCTGCCTCAAACTTCAATTATAATTATTTCTTTATGCAACTGGTGGGTTGAAATCTGTGTCTTCCGCTACACTGCAAGCTCCTTGAAGGTGGGGACCTCGTTTTTCTTGCTGAATTTGGCTTACTAAACTGATTTCACTGAATTAAGTTTTAGAGTCCACAAATTGATACATGATCCTAATTGCTCCTGGATTCTGATGAGGAAAAAAGTCCATCTAGTTAGGAGGCCGAATTTCTAGATGGAGCTGGGCTTCTTAACTACTTGCTTACTGATCAGAAGAGGGAGTGGGGGTGGGGGGCTAGGCGGTAGATCTCCACGGACCCAAACAGGCAACTTCTGCACTTATACAATCTGCGGCACTATGATGAATTTCGGGGCCAGCCAGGCCTCGAAGAAAAGCGTCTGGCAAAGAAGGAAGCAGAAGGCGCCAGCTGTGATTTTCCTGCTTCGTAAGCACAAGGCAAGACCTGGGAGCCACACCCCCCTATGACCAACAGTTCAAAGATTGCCCCGGGATTGCCAAAACTTTCACTTAACCACAATCGACTTTTTGGTTAACCAGAGGCCAAGACCGAATGGACAAGCAGTCCCAAGTCTTAGAGCTATGTGCATTCATTCCGGGTTTCTGTCTTTTTCCAAGCACCGAGCGCAGCCCAATCTTGCTAGCAAGATTCGCGCACTTCCGAGTTAGACGGTCCCAGGCTGGCGGGCTTTGCTCGCTGTCCCCGGTGCGGGGGCGGCCTGAGCGGCCCGGAGTGTGCCCGGGATGGGGCTGGGGTCCGCCGGCGGCCCGGGGCAGGACGCGACCCACCTTCCAACTCGGCAAAGCCGAGCACCACGTCTGAGGCTTCCCCCTGCCTGTCTTTGACCTCCAGGGCTGTAATGGTGCAGCCCCAGGAGATGATGTCCACCCCCAGCTGGTCGGACTGCAGCCGGAACTTCTCCACCGTCCCTCCCCCCGAGGGCAGCTCTCCAAACACGTTTCTGGTCACCGAAACCATCGCGAAAGTTTTGGGATGTGCGGCTGCTCCCAGCTCCTCGAGCGCGGGCGGCCAAGCTAGGAGTGAGTCGAGTCCACCGGAGGGGGCGGGGCTCTGCCTAGGCTCCTCCCCCTTGCCTGGATTTAGGGAGTGACCCGACCCGCAAAAAATACCCTCTGGGGCTCCTCTAACTCTTTGGCCCGGGGTGACACACGGAAATTTTCCAGCCAGGCTTGCAGTTCTTTTCCTTGACTAACTTGGCCGCACTGCATGTTGGGAATGGGAATCTTTGGGACGTGAAATTGCATTCTGGGGCCTGTAGTCTTTCTGAACCCCAAACTCAAGTTGTAGGCCCTCCACCGGCTGGTCCAGCTGACCTTCTTCTCCACACGTAATTAGCCGGTGTGCCAGGACCGAGCGCCCGTCCTTTTTCCTGAAGTCCAAATTCCTTGAAGAAGAGATCAAGGGAACAACTATCTTGGGGTCCCTGTAACTGCCAGCTCCCACACCCACAAGTCAAAACAAGTCCAGGGGCCCGGGAGATGGCTCAGTGGAATAAGCGCTTCCCTGGCCTGAGTTCAGTCCCCAGTTCTGCCAAAAAAGAAAAAAAGAAAAGAAAGAAGTGCAGAGGTGGGGTTGAGAGAGGAAAGTCCTGAGGGCATCCACTATTGCAGTGCCTAAGTGTGCCCTTGGAATGATCTCAGGAAGTTTTAAATTTTCTTTTTCTTTTTTTCTTCCCGGAACCAGGGATTGAACTCAGGCCCTTGTGCTTGCCAGGGAAGCACTTATTCCACTGAGCCATCTCCCTGGCCCCATCTCAGGAGCTCTTAAAGGCTCAGTCCAAGTCCCTCTCCTGCAATTCCTGATCTTGGCAGCCTAAGGCGATAATTCGGGATCTGCATATTTCACATCCCTGAGGTGGTTCTAATGCATATTTATCTCCAACCAAACTTCAAGTAAGATTGATGGCTAACTGTAAGATTTGATGGCTGAGATTTCCCTTCCCCGCCGCCCCCGCAACTAGGCTCTGATGGAGGACTATGAAAATCTATTATAGAATCTTAATAAGACCCAAGATAAAATACAAGCATCTCTTGGCAACTCTGGAAGGGTTACCAGCCCTAGGGAAGGGGTGGCACTAGGTTCGACTTCAGGTTGTCTTCCCACTCAGTCCACCCCCATATTCAGGCGTCGCTGAGGCCCTGGTTTGGCTTGGTTCCTGGATGTTTCAGACAGCATCCAGCCACACTGTGGCGTGCTCGGAAATGTGTCCGTGATTAGGAAATTAGGAGAACTGGGCTGATGTTCCTGTAATCAGACGCTAATAAGACATAATAAATGTCTCTCGCTCAGCCTTTTCTGTCCATGTGGTTGGAAAGAGTATGTAGCATTTTCCCCTCAAAGCCTCAAGCCTGCACTGCGAAACCTGGGGAGGAATTCTGATAGCAAAGGAAAAATGGGCTTGCGGCAGGCTTCAGGGCCGCACACAGTGTATAATAGCAAAAAGACGCAAACAAGTCAAGGTACAGACTGCATTGCATGCACACAGTAACCCACCGGCACTCCTGACTGCCGCTTCATCAGAAATTCTCGTAAGCTCTGCACGTCCCTTCCGCCCCCTTAACAGTTGTGCCTAACTCCTGCGCAAGCCCTTTCAGCGATGCTGCTAGCAAGGATGCCTTTGAGCTTCTTCTGTGAGCAGGAAGACCACTTTTTTTTTTTTTTTTTTGCTTTTTCAGCCGCCAGTTCTCAGTGTTCTGCCAGGCTCTTGTCACGACAGAAGAAATAAATGCATCTGTGTGGCCGGCACTGAGTGTTGCTAGGGGAGGTGGCGGTGCCCAGCTTGGCAGAAAATGGAACACATCATGATGTCCCCCTAACGTGAGGAGGATACTTCCTGATTTCATTTTCCTTTCACTTCAAGAGTTTAACCAATTGTTCCAGACGGGACTACCTTGAGCTCAAAACAGCTGTGAGGTGCAAACTGATCTTTTAAAAATCTGAGTATCTCACTTTTTTCATCTCACAGTGATATGCTGAAGGAGTAGCCGGGGTCCCCCACCTAGTCTGGTGGAACAGTCTGCATCTGTCAGGAGGTCAGAAGCAAGGAGAAAATATGCAAAATGAATCGCTGCCAAATTCTGGGAAGTATTTAATTTCATTTTGAGTTAAGCCTGAAGGCAAATTTATGAGGCAAAGCGAATAGGTAAGTTTAGTGACATTTTTTCCTTCAACTGGAGGCGGGGAGGCATGAGGGTGTACAAGTAAGGAACAAGGCCTGTTTCTCCTCAGCTGGTGGTTTTAGTCCCCAAAACACTATGCGGAGCAAGGCCAGAGGAATCAAGAGCCCTTAGGCCCTGACTCCTCCTTGAGGCTCTTTCTCATTCTACACAGACACTGCAGAATTTGCTGTTTCTGGGACCCCTCAGCCCCTGGATTCAGAGAAACGACTTTGAAGCCTTAAGCTGCTGACAGACTGCTGCACTGAGGAGACTTGCTGAGAGATAATTACAAAGCCAACTCACAGTTGGTTCATAAAGAGGTCTGCAGTGGATTTGCTTCCATCCGGTTGATAATGTTACTGCAGACCCATTGTCTCATTCCTCGCTGGTTCTTCTTGGGATTCCCTTATCTTCCCGTGAGAATTTTGTTGTTGTTGTTGTTGTTGTTGTTGTTTATTCTACCGTTGGTTCCTTGATTCAGTATTTTGACTTAGGCATTTTTTTTTTTTTTTTTGTAACCCAGATTCAGTAGACTTGATTTCAGATTTAAAACAACAACAGCCACAACATTAACAAGAACAAGAACAAGAACAACAAAAGTGTATTAGGAAGCCAGGCATACCAGGGAGAATCCTATCAAGTTTAGGAGTCGTAGAATTCCTCACAGTTCAATTCAATTACAATTTCATCAGTAATTCTGGGGGTGGAAGGCATCATTGGGTGGGGGTGAGAAGTTATTTCGGAAGATGGACCAAATTTGCCTACACGACATGTTGTCCAGTTGTGAAAACATTAAAGGAGGCTTTGCAAAGCACTGAGCTAAATGCTGGTTATATATTAATAAGTCAAATATGATCTTCATTGAGGAGATTTTAGATTAGCATGATATAATCCCAATCTCTCTATCTGCTATTAAAACTGCAGTTAAATCTTCAGAATTCGTTATCAGCCAGTGTGCTTAAGGTATTTGTAATTTCAGGATTGCTCAAAGACAACCAGCTATATGGGGATTATTATAAAATGTCTAGGACCAGGCACAGCTACTTCCACATATTAGTTGTTCAGTAAATAATTGTCAAATGAGTCCATGGTGCATTCTTATGAGCAGATAGTACGACTGTGGAGAATTATATCTCCAGGGTCTCACTGCTAGATCAGACTCACAATGGTCCGCCTGCTTACCGCCTCCCAAGAGCTGGGACTACCGGCGTGCGCCACCATGCCCAGTCTCAATTGCTGTCTCAGTGCATGGGGGCAGGGGGGACACAGCAGGCCCGGGGATTGAACCCCCAGCTCCTGTGCCTTCTTGCAGGTGCTTTAATCCGCTGAGTTATGTGACTGGCCCTTCTGTTCCGGTTTTTATAGATCCCCTCAGTCCTTATGATAACTGCAGTGTATCCCACTGTGTAAATGTACCACAACTCATCTTTTATTCAGGCTGTTGCCAGTGTTCAAGATTATAAGAAATGTAGTCATGTATTCACAGGTGTATATTGCTTTAGGGAGTTAGGCAGGAATAAAGGTAGAGTAGCTTATTACCAGTAGAACTGCTGAATCAAAGGATGAATCTGAGATGTATGTATTTTTAATTTAAAGTTCATTTTCAACTTTTTTTTAAGAATTTCAAATTTACAGAAAATTGGAAGAATAGTACAGTGAACACCATACATTATTTGAATGAGTTCAATAATTTTAAAATGCATCTGCATGATTTTTCTCTAATTCTACTCTTCCTCCTCCCCTTTCCTTCCTCATCTTTGAGAGTAAGTTGTAGGTGTCATAACATGCTCACTCCTAAATATGTCAGCAGATAGTGTCTAAGAATAAGGTCAAGAATGTTCTCTCTTCCCATCCTGACACAGTTATCAAATTCAAGAAGTCTAATATTGGGGTGGTGCTGTGTGGTGCCCTGACTTGTAAAGCTCAGCATTTGGGAGGCAGAGGCAGGAAGATCACTGTGAGTTTGAGGCCAGCCTGGGCTGCATAAGGAGACCCTATCTCAAAAAACCACAAAACTAACATTAATATAGTTATTTAATGTATAGTACAAAAGCTCCAGTGGCACGGTTGATTAGCGCACTGTACTTATATAACATATAAAACATATTTGAATTGAGCAATCTTGTCAGTAATGCCCTTCATAGTAACTTATTTTTTTTTTGGTCAAGGATCTAATTTGTGATTATACACTCCATTTAACTGTCTTGCTATTTCTTTTGATTGCTTTTAATTCTAGAACAGTTCCACAGTAAATATTGCTTTCTCCTGTCTCATTTTCCTCTAGTGGTTTGACATCTGCTGCTGATTTGTGCCTGAATCAATTCTTGCTATAACGGAAGATCAGTTTTTCATACATAAAAAGAATAAGCCATGAGATTTGTATATTTTACATTTAATCCTTGTGATGGCTGTGAAAGTACTCAACATTATGTAACTGAAAGTATTATATCTTTCTGAATTTAAGCCCCTAATCTGAGATCATTTTGCTTTGCAAATTAGTGACCTGGGGTTTGAACCTACAGCACTGTTCACTGTATAAGCCTGCTTGTGGTAGGCACTGATAGCCAGATATATATTGGGCCCTTTTAGTGTTCTGGAAATGGTGGAGCCCAGTCTGGTCTTGAACCCTCAGCAGTCCTCCTGGCTCAGCCTCCTGATTTATAGTCTACTGCAATGGTAAGCTCAGTATAAAGAGAGCTTTTCATTCCCAATAATGGGGAGTGGAATGAAAATGTCTGAATCGAATCTCACTGGGCAGGCTTGGGTCAGGCGCCTTCTAAACTGACTACCTGATCACTGGTAGGGCAGGCTGGGAGCAGGAATGGGGGGGTTTCCCAAGGGAAGATCTGAGTGCTGTTTCTACAGCGAGAATGGATGCTGGATGCACAGAACCAATATGCACCCAGAACAGAG